ATCGCGGCGTATCTAGCAGAGTCAATCTCTCAACGCCTCCCTCTCCTCCCCACTCCCCCGTCTCTCCCTTTCTCACGTGTTCCCCGTTTTTCTCTCTGTCATCTTGCTGCTCTCTTCCTGCAGAGAGGCAATGGTGGTGGCACTGGGGCTGCTGGCGCCAACTCCTCTCTGCTCGCGCGAGTGGGAGGGGCGGAAGCGCACAGCAGCAGACACCGCATCAGCATGCGGGCACACGGGCATCTCGGCGGCGTATCTAGCAGAGTCATCTCTCAACGCCTCCCTCTCCTCCATGACCATTCAGGGACCAGCACCAGCTGGCCACCGACCCCTCTCTTCTCCAAATCCGCCGCTGCTGCCGGTCACGCAGCCGTGGGCCGCAGCAGCAGGTGCCAGCAGTGGCGGCAGGGCAGTGCTGGTGCTGCTGCTGTGTGGCTGCTGCTGCTGCCGGTGGTTCTCCCGGGGGCGGCTCGTCCGCTGCTCGTTGCCGCATCTCCCGACATGCAGGAAACGCTGGATGCGATCCGAAGAACGGCGCAGGCCGCAGCGTTGATCCAGGAGCGGTTCAGGAAGCACTCGGAGCGAAGCGCCAGCAGCAGGAGGAGGAGGAGGAGCTTAGAGAGCAGGAGAGAGCAGTGGCGGCTGCAGCGGAGGCAGCGGCAGGGCTTGGGATTGGAGGGATGATGAGTGGATGAGGAGGAGGCGAGGATGCTGGTGGCGGGCGAGGAAGATTCAGAACGCGTTCCGAGGGCACAAGACCTTCAAGCAGTCGGAGGCGGCGCGGAGCATTCAGAGGCGGTTCCGCACGTGGAAGCACCGCAGGGAGTTTCTGCGTGCATGCGGCAGCGCGTGATCAAGATTCAGGTGAGGGTGGTGACTACCAGGGTGACCCCAACCCCCCAGGCGCACGTGAAGGGGCACATTCAGCGGGTGAATTACAAGAAGATGAATTGGGGCCTGGGGATCATTGCCAAGGCAGTGCAATCAACCCTCCCCCTCCCACCCCCCCACCCTCCCCCATCCCTCTCGATTTCCTTTCCCCAGGCGCACGTGAAGGGGCACATTCAGTGGGTGAAATACAAGAAGATGAATTGGGCCTGGGGATCATCGCCAAGGCAAGGTGTATATCCATCCTCCCACCCTCCCCCCCTCCCTCTTCCCTCCCCCAGGCGCATGTGAAGGGGCACATCCAGCGAGTAAAGTACAAGAAGATGAAGTGGGGCCTGGGGATTATTGCCAAGGCGGTCCTGCGCTGGCGGTTCCGCCGCAGTGGCGTGCGGGGGCTCCAGCCCAGCAGGGAGACTGCCACTCCGATGCGGATGGTGCGCTGTACGGAGTGAGAGGCGTGGAGGCGGGGGGTGGGGATGGGGAGGAGAGAGAGGTGAGTCTGGCGGTGAGCCGGATGCAGGCTATGGCTCATTCGGTGGAGGGACGGGCGCAGATTCTAGGATGAAGCAGGCTCAGATTGACATGCAGCAGGAGATTCAGATGCAGCAGATGCAGATGCAACAGATGCAGCAACAGCAGATTCAGCAGCAGCAGCAGCAGCAGATGTTGATGCAGCAGCAGGCACAGGAGCAGCAACAGTATTCTGGCATGTCTGGTTTTCCAAGCCAACAAACATCAGCAGCAGCAGCAGCAGCAGCAAGTTCTGATCTCTTGCAGCAAGCTCACCTGTTAACGCAGCAGCAGCAGGGGTCAGGAGCAGCAATGGAACCAGTGAAACCATGTACCGTATGTCGTTGCGACACAGTTTTGACAGCTCTTGAAAGATTAAATGCATTTGCTTCTTGGCAATTATGGTATGTCATCGCATACACAGCAGGGCCTATTTTATCAGGGTAAATCACCCTGATGCCCTGATGAACAGGGTGGTTTTTAGGTAGTGACACTGATGCGGTAGGGTAATTTTTAGGACCTTCATTTACCCTGATGTGCCATGGTTTACGATTGTGCTACACTGTCGCCTCAGGGTTGCCTATCCTCTTATCGAGTTTTACCCTGAAGCGACTTCCAGCCAACCCCCGACCCCCCCCCCCCCCAACCTTCCCTAACCTCCTACCCAGTAACCTGGGAATCCCCTTTGCCAACTGTCGTAACTGTAAATTTCGGCACGACATTACGTGTGCTGGTACGAAGTGGGCCACCATTGGCCTGAAAAATTGTTACACTGATGACCCAGGGTAGAATTTTCTGGATCTGCAAAAACCCTGACAGATCAGGATTTTCACTGAGGGATACTCTGATAATCAGGATTTTGATGATGTGCAACACTGATCGTAAGGGTTGGCTCAAACCAAAAATTAGCCCTGATACACAGTATAAGGTTCAAGGAGAGTAGGATTAAAGCTTGTTTTGTTGTAGCGGGCAGCTGATTGATTCAACAGTGGAAAGGGTGTGCTAGATTAGTGCAAGCAGCAAAATGCAGGGTGTAGAATCATTGCACTGCTGCACGTAAGGGCGTATCCTACGCCTCCATCAGAAACCTGTCAAGATTGTACCTTTTGCCTGGTAAAGTAGCGAGAGATTTTGGTTTAGGAAATTTTTCAGTGAGAGCTTGATAGGAGGTTTTCTTGATATGAGGATAGGAATACGCCCTAAGTGGTGGATTTAAACTGAGAACAACATATGTGTTGCAAAAACATACATATGTTACGCTTGCATCACCTCACACGGATGCAATGTTGCAATGATGGAGGTTGTTTGACAGTGGAATAAACTGCTGGTTTCATCACAACACATTATTTGAGAGGGTCTCACACAACTAAAAACCATTATTTTCCATGGGTGTCAACTAACAACCACGATTATCCAGCTGATTACACACAGCAGCTTGATGATGGCATGTCTGAATTGCAGAATTCCTTCCTAAAATGAGTGATAATATGTTGTGTTTTTGGCTTCAGTTGGTCTACACTACACTGGGATTTCAAATGACATGTGGTGTAGTAGACACAACCTTCTGTTGCATTTGGGAGAATATGCCACACGTAATCAACAAGGGTCTCGATAATATGTTTGGAAAAACAAAACGGGTAAGGTCACTGCAAAGGGTGTTTTCACGTGTGTGATAACACGTTTCAAGGAAACAGTCACAATCAACTGGGAAAAAATAACGCGAATTGTCACAGATGAGATTCCCGCCCAAAATAGATAATACCCAAACGAACCTGGATGCATTTTCGGATGAATCAACCCTAAACACAATTCGCCAGGTGTTTAGGGTTGATCCGTTCCCAAACCGCATCCGATTCCGATCGGGTTTTAGTTTTTTTTTTTCGAAGTTAGCTGATTTGTTCGGCGCGAGCGGGAATTTTGTAAAGTTTCAAGAGTTTTTGGCGGGAGTAACATGTGTGACCATTCGTGTGATTTTTCACCTGTTGTGAGTTACTGAATCCGTGACCCCACTTACCAAACCCGTCAGCAAGCCCGATAGACTGACCGTACGCGTTTTGTTTTCCGGTCACGTTATCGAGTCCCATGTTTGTTACTTGTAACATATTTTCCCGTTGCATTTCTGTTTCACCAACCTCCTCCATTAAGCATTTATGCGAGATAGTCTGTACATACACTGTACCTTAACGGCCGTACTCTGCACCTCCATAGCACGTGGTCGCGATTCGCTCGCAGTTTTTGATTGGCGTTTACCAACTCGCGCTGGATGCCTAACGGCCCGCGATTCGTGCACTTCGTGCTGACAAGGATATTGCGCTAAAAGTTTTATGACACACATTTCCCTTTCCCCGTCCATTTATTTCAAGCAAGTTGAAACCACTTTGAGCCATACGCTATCTCCAGATTCTTCCATTCATCCCACACCACCCCGAAGCCAATCCCCCAGTTCCCAACACTCAACTTCCACTCGTTGGCGCCGGACTGAGATCCAGCGCGAGCTAGAATTCCAGCACATCAGCGTGCTGAGTCACCAGGCATGGCTTCTTGCATTCAACGGTGGCGTTTCTGTGGGCGTGGAATCAGCGTGCGGAACAGTTCCTTCATTGTTTTGTTTCCTCTGACTTGGCTTCTATTTTGATCAGATCGGCTCGTCTGAAGCGCCAAGTAAGAAAATGTTTGTTGGAAGATCTCTGAACAGTTGTCGCTTCCTTCATTTCCAATCCAGCGCTTCATCGGAGAGGTTGGTCGACTTGCAGAGCCCGCCTTCAAGCAGCAAAAATGAAGTCGCAAGTGACCTCGATTCTGTGATCCAATTTCTGTCGGAAATTCAGCCACAGATTGAAGGGCGGGGAGCAGTGAAGACACACGCGTTAGCCGACCACCGCAAAGCAGCAGACAGCATCCAGCAAGGCAAAGAAACGAAGCATGCGTGTCTAGAACATCGGCACTGCCATTATGCCATACGCCGACAACGCATCACGCTGGCATGCTGGCAGTGGGTAGTGTAATTTTCTGTGTTTGTTTACAAGGTACGGTGCTCCCCCTCAAGAGGCGCACGAGCAGACTCCATGTCGATGTCGGGCAGCAATTTCAGTATTGGCTGCGACCATTCCCCCAGTCGGAACAGAATGTCTCAAACTGAGGGAGTACAGCACCAAACGCTCGAAAAAATGAAGTGGAATTAATCCGTGTGCGATGCGAGGCTGGAGGATATTGGCCAATGACCATTCCACCATGCGAAAGGACAACTTCCGGCAGGCGAACGGACGCCCTCCACAACCTCGCATCCCAGCCCATCCCTCCCTACCGCCTCCAACCACCACATCCTCCATTTCCCTTTCTGTCTCAGTGCCCTTTTCGCTTGCTGACATGACGAAAGACGTGGGCTACTGCTGCGCTGTACTGTGCACGCACCCCCCTGGTCCGTGGCCTGCCTCTCCCTCAGCCCCCAGCAGTGCATTGCACTGCATTGCCATACAACAGCTCGCACACTCACTCACTCACTCAAACACGAGGAAAAAATTAGTGCAACCATCCATGCAACCATTTATCCACCCCGCTCTGTCCCTCCCCCCATCCCAAACGTCCTGGATAAAAGCCACCACGCTCACCCGCTCCACCATCATCAATCATCGAGTTTGCGCCTTCGCTCACTAGCCGAAAACCCGCCAGAGTTTCCATTCCGAGCATTCTTAATCCAAATCAGGCCCACCCATACTTCGCCAATGTCCATGGCTCTCCAGTTCAACTCACCCACTCCAGACCACACGCACTTCCGCGCGTTCCTCCCTTTCGCTCCTGCCATGGAGCCTCTCCCCACTGTAGGCTTTCCGCTTTTCGCCGACTCGTTACACGCAAACAAACGCCTTCGATCCCTCTCATCGTCCCCCATCTCCGTCCTCCAGCGGCTCTCCTCGATACTACGCTCAGCCTATCCTCTACTCCGATCGTCTCTCCCCACCGTGCCCGCCGTGTAACGGCGCGATTTTGGAACGTTCGCCGTGTGACGACACAACAACCATGCCGCGCTCCCCTTTCTCGCAATGCTCCGCCGCTTCAAGCCCAAACGCAATCCCCGGCCGCCGCAATTCCCCAGATTCCTCGCGTCCTCAGCGCCAGTCCACTTCGGCGGACCAATGCGCCACTCCCCGCGGTTCCTGCAGCTCCCGCCGCTGCTCCCGCCGCTCACCCTGCACGCTGTCCGCTCCCGCCTGTGGAGGCCCTCCGCCGCGCCGTGAAGCGCTCGCACGCCGCAGCCCGACTCGACGAGGAGGTTACCAGCCAGCTTCGGTCCACCTATCCCTCGGATTGCCCTTGCAAGTCCCGTCAAACGCGCTCGAGGTCGGGGTGCCGCGGCGTCGGGACCCAGCGGTGCTTCCGTGCGACGCTGGCGTGGCGGAGCGGCTCGTGAAGTACGACAGGTGACGTCGTCGCTGCGTGGCTCTCTGCCGCCCGCGAATCTCGCGCAGTGGGACGCGGCGGGGGCAAGCTGAGGGATCGCGTCGCGATGAAGGAGGAGTTTGGAAACGACGTGAACGGGTTCCTTCTGTTTCTCCACGCGCAGCTCGGCGCGCAGCAGCCGTCAGCGCGCAAGGCGCTTCAGCTGTTCGCTGCGTTCAAGCAGGCGCAGAGGCAGAGGCAGAAACATGGGAGCTACGGTGGCATCTGAAGCGCCGCTGCCGCCGGCGGCTGCGGCGGTTTCGCGCCGTGTTTCGGCACAGGCTCCCGAACTGACGACGATACCGCTTCCGTGTGTAGCAACGATCCCGAATCTGAAGGCTCACAGGCTGAGTCATCCTTTATTCGCCGTGACTCATCCACATCGACTTCCGTTCCTTCCGCAAGCGGGTGTCGGAGTGACGTGTGTGTCGTCGCAGCAGCTGAATGTGGAACAGCCGAGGCTGGGTCAGCCAAAGGTCGACCTTGGGATTGACGTGACGTGTCCTGCTGCTGTGAAGAAGATGTTTTTGAACTCCAGTCCGCAGTGGTTCAGTTGGAGAGGAATGCCGCGATGGACGCGCGGATCAAGGCAGAGAGCCTTGCCGTGTTGCGGACCGC